ATTTAGCGCGGATAATGCGCTACACTAATAGCTTGCACTCGCAAACTTGCAACAATGTAGCCCGTAGCCGCTCCGTGGCATATTACAAATCGCCCCGGCCCCGCTCGGCGCGCGCAATCTTTTACACGCTCACTACTATCTACCTCGTGCTGCACATTGTTTGTACACTTTAATAGGATACCATAATTCACCTGTCAAACATGCTTTAATAACGAACACAACTAAAATTGACCACGCTTCAAGGCTCGAAATAACTCCACTATTCATGTCATTACAATCCCAGCCGCCGTATTTATTCAGTTCTCGAAAACACCAAAATTATTTACCATAATCACTGTATACCTTGCTGTCCTTATATTAATAATCAATTTAAATTGCTGCGGAGCTGTATAAAAAACATAATTTTCGTAAACTGACTCGTCATTATACAGGGTTAACTTCAATTTAATTGAAGATTAATTGAGCTCTCGCGTTCATCGAAATTTAAAATCGAAATTAATTAAAAGACAAGGAGCATTACGTTGACGTGGTGAGGGGGGAGGACCGGCCAGCTCGCCACACTCCAGACACAATGCAAATTGGCCGCGCTCGCCGACCACACCCGCTGCCCGCTTGCACTGCACAACCACTGCACTGTTTAATTATTTCGTACCGTTTACAAACGAATTTTATTTCATTACCACAGGCCAGTGAACCCTTCTCACAGGACAGGTACACTGAAGGACCAAAACCTCGTTTACATATCATCTTAAATTAGACGCGATTTTAAGTCAAGGAAATGAGTGCAACGACTCAATAAGTCGGCCATAAACCAGCATAATAATATTCTATTCTAGCGTAGTGGGCAAGGAGGCGCTGGTCGTGGCCCGTGGGCTCGTTTAAGTTAGAATTAACATTGACAGCAGCGCGTACATAACCCAAGAAAATAAAGGCTAAGTCCTCTATACTCATATGCATACAGTCTATTATGTCGCCTCACCTTCAGATTTCTTATGCGATGCGTAAAATCGAAACATTATCAGATCAGACACTGTTATCGTTTTAGTACGAATGTATTTTACATTTTTACATATGTGAGTACTCGGTAGGGACCTATTTAGTAAGTCTTTTAGCACGTTCGCCACTCGTAAGCGGACGAAGGCCGCCGTCTGAAATGAGCTGAACGTAGGCCCGAGACACTTAAATCGAAACTTTACGGTTGTCTTTATCGATACGATTGTGTGTTTAAATGTGAAAACATAACCATATGCCACACGAGTGGACCGGGTCGTTTACAGTTTATCTAGCTTTTTATTTTTCGACTAAATATTTTTTATGAGCGTGTCCTTACGATTCAAAGTGTTTTGTAGCGTCGCGGTGGTATTTAAAGTTGTATACTTTGTGTTAATTGTAGTTGACGCAAAGTGCTTGGCATTAAAGTTAAGTGCGTTTCGATACGTGGTGTGAAGGTTTATTGGTCGTCATCAAATTTCATGTGGCGAAGGTGTCGGACTGGTTAAAAATTGCATGTTTGCGGGGGCGCGGGTGTAATCAGTGGGTGTGCAGTATTTGCGTGTCCGTCACCGCAGTGTACACCTCGCTCATAAACCGACATAAGCAGAGCTCTTGCAATTCGTATGCAGATGTAACTACTCGCCAACGCCAACTATGAAACACTTATTTACTTGACATTGAAACTTATAATACTTGCAATTTATGTGCATACTGTATTATTGGCGACGGTTGCATGTAACACGTAGAAGAGATTTATAGAATTTTATGAACTCATATAAATAACTTGTCCCCTGCAATGCAAAACTTTAGAAGATATATTCAAATAGGCATAGTTGTTGCGTCGTCATTAACTTTTTGAACATTGCTTTTGATACGGTGACATGTTAATTAAATGACTAATTTTTCAGTGAGGACTAATATAGACCATAAAACGATGGTTAACATTCAATAACAATAGTACTTAGTAATAAAAAACTGTAAGTTATTCGTATTAATCGTACAAGGTCTACCTTTCTATGTCTTATGTGGTTTACTGATTAAGGTTTTTCTAAATTACCAGACTATATCCAAACGGAGACGCGACATATCGCTAATCACACTAATATTATGAATGTGAAAGTTTCTTTGTTTGAATGTTTGTCCGTCAATCACGCTGAAACTACTGAACGGATTTTGATGAAGTTTTGTCTACAAGCAGGGTATGGGCTGACTTAGGTCAATCAAATCAAATCAAGACTACATAATAGATTTATGATTAATAAGCCCTTGAAAAATTAACTCTAAATGTCAACAAGCTAAAAAATATGTCAGACAAGAATATTCTTGCCTAAATATAGAACAAACATTATGGAATTTTACAGCAAAAAATCCGGAAACGCCGCCAAAGAAACTCGCTTGAAAAATTCTACGAAAGTTGTTATATGGGACGACTGACGAGTCACGGTTATGATTCAGATGTCAGACCCACCGCGTATCATAATGCGAGTCACAATAAAATAATTTAAGATCTTCATAATATTGTGAATGTGCATAATTTAAGAGTTGACGGTTGTCTTAATATGGGCATTACAGACAATTACGTTGGGGAAGGCGGTGCATATGCTCCGTGCGCGGGCGCATGGATCCGATGCAGTTTAGATAGCCCCCGACGACGGTTGACGCACTGACGGCTTCACGACCGACGATTTAGTTGCAGTTCTCTTTGAAAACTGTTATTGTAGCATTGGATCGCGAAATATGCGGATAATGCGTTGAATTTTACACATAGCTCAAAAGATTAGAATATTCCTGAGAGCGCTACGGATTGCAATAAGAAATACGAAGGAGGTACATTACAATCAGGAGTGCTAAGCCGACTCCACACCACATATATTCAGTACAATATCTACGTAATTACGTCAGCATAAATTGTCATTGGTGAATGAGATTGTGGGTGCGATTTCATCGGGTACATAAGTGGTCGGGCGCAACATTGTCGCGTGGGATTGCCCCGGCTACGCTCGCCGCAGACGATGCCGCGCTCGGGTTACTGTGGTCACTTTCTTGTATGGTGGTTCGCATTAAATGTGCTATGTGTACTCTCTCCAAAGGCTTACATAGGCTTTACTTATATTAGGTAATAAACACGCAATCTCGGAAAAGAAACAAGTATTGTACATGTTTTAGACTGCGACTTATTCAAGGTCTACCGAGGACGTTAAAAACCATTTAAAAATAGGTATCTTTGTTACTTTGCAATTCAAACATACTGATATTAAAAAAGGAGGTCAAAAGCAAAAAGGGTGCAGTGAATAATATTATTGCTCATGGGCTTGAATTGATTCTCGTGCATGGTCGAATGCAAATCAACGTCAAGTTTTACCGTAAAAGAAATATAAACAACATGTTAACGTAGCTTCGTGACCACGCTGTCGTTTCACACTCAAAATGGCCACATGCATGCAACACTGTTACAGGGACCTCGTAAAGAAAATTAATCCATCATTTGATGTGATTGGCATTTTTTCCTGCGTACAAAAAACCGTCTAGCCATGTAGTATGTGGCATTGAGTCCCCTATACTTGGTATTGTTTGGCTCCGAGCCGTTGCCCCGCGGATCACCATACACCGCTTGCGCGTGTGTATGCCACAGGAAATCTGGACTTCCGTTCGTCTAGGATATTCACCTGGCTAGACAATGAATCGCTAATAACACATTGTCTGTGCGTCTGTCTGTCGTTAAACCTAATGTATGCGTAGTCGCCCGTCATTTATGGTCTAGTGGTTCAGTGTGCTCTTTTTCCTTGGGGTCGACTAGAATGGATGAGGTCGAAGATACACGCGTAGAAACAGAATAATGTCGTTAGGGCAATGCTCGGGGCTGATGCGTCACTAGCATCCCCGTAACATGAAGATCACGAACCAAGTGGTCACACAATTTGAGCCGTGCATCCGAATGTAGGCGAACAAAGCCTCGGACTTGTGAGCCGCATTAAAACAACAAACACGTAATGGGTTTACTTATAAAAAGGAAAACATTAGCCGCCTTGTGGCATGCCGCTATCTCGCTTTTAATTTTATATGACGGCCAAAGATAACATAAATGGAAAATATACTCAAACATTTCTTAATTTTGAATGCATTTTATGTATTTTGAACTTTAATTCTATGGCACGTATAATTCCCATACATTATGGTGTAGATAAAGTTCCATGTTTTTCTCATGGTGTAGTTACTTTGAAACAGGTTCATTTACATATGTATACCCAGTATATAGTGCTGGCAGGCTCAGACAGAATTGATCCGGCTTAAAACAAGTCGTTAGTTGGAAAACGGATGTAAAATTGTCGGGATTACCATTACTATAATAAGACAAATTGTACCAAGTTAATACACAAAAAAGTTTGCAGCAATTAGTGAATGTAACATACATTTTTATAGAATAAATAAAAAAATTTTATTGAATAAAAAAAAAATATTCAAAAAATATAAACAGAAATTTCATATTTATGTCATCATCATCATCAACAGCCTATAAATGCCCACTGCTGAGCAAAGCCTCTTCTCACACGGAGAAGGTTAGAGCATTAATCATCACGCTTGCTCAATGCGGGTTGGCGATTTCAAACTTATAATTAGAAATTATAAGTCCAGGTTTCCTCACGATGTTTTTCCTTCACCGTTTGTCAGTGGTGTCTAAATAATCTCAGAAAGTACATATAACTCGGAAAAAGTCACATTGGTACTTGCCGTTGGTAGGTTTCGAACCCGCACCCTCATGCATTAGAAGTGGGCGTCTTAAACCTCCGGGCCACCACGACGTCATATTTATGTCTTAATTCTATATTATTTTTGCCATGATATGTCATATGCCTGAACTAGGTTCAAAACCTGATTAGTAAATGAACGAAATAGGTATGTAAATGCAGCAAGCAACCTACCAGCTACCAGTTTGTGAAATATATCTTTTCCCACCTAATATTTGTTGTATTATTTACACCACTACTAACGTAAATTGTTTGTTACAGGTACCTCTAGTATCAAACGAAGGAACAGCCGGTTTAGGGGCCGGGAGAGCTCCATTCGCGCCAATCGCGAAGAATTCCCTAGGACCAGCCACCATGCGCTTAGCGACTAGAACCAAAATGCTAAACCCACCAGCTAAAGCATTCCAATCACCCATAGATGATGATGAAGACTCAGAGTGATATTAACATTAAGAATTAGATTATAAGGTTCAATTTTCAATGAAATCTTATGGTTTTGTAAGTTTTTTTTTATTTATAAATCGGCGATTAGTCGCAAGACAGCTAGTGAGTTATTATGGCGGGTAGGTGAGGGAATCAGTGTGCCATCTACCTTTTCATGACATGTTTTTCCGTTTTAGCCTTTTGCAAAGCAAGTGTAAGCAAGGGTTTTATAATTTCATTGGCGAATTTTTTTTAATGTTTCGGAGTCCGTTCTGCGTATTTATTTTTGACGTTCTCAATTTCTGATTGTACAGTCACAACATTGGGGTATTCGTGGATTGCCTCGTAATCGAGCATCTCCCCATCATTTTTTCAGTGCATCTGTGGTCATCCTCGCGGGCGCTTGTTGTTTAACCACTACCACTCCAAAAGAGGTTGTCACCTTAATTTTTCATTCCAAGCAACATGTCCTGCCCACTTCCATTTTAGGTGTGCTATCCGTTTCGTCATATCTGTGACCTTGCACTTCTTACGAAGCTATTTGTTTGTTTTTCAGTCTAACAATGTCACACCCACCATCCTTTCTATTGGCCTCTGGGCCACTTCCAGTTTCTCATTTTGGTATAAACTCAGGTTTTGTCTACTGGTAGGGTACACCGATAGAAGGTAGGCCTGTTTTCTAGAGAATTTTTCGTTCGACCGAGCTTCTCTCCATTAACTCGTCGAGTACCGGTTTTATAGACACAATTAAAGAACAATAGGTCGCGGTCACCGGTGACCGCTTGGTGTTTGACAGTTTAAGGTAGTAATGGTTTCTCAACTTACGGTTCTGAACGTACGGTAGATCTGGCGTCTCTATTTTATTTGTATAAGCCTGCCTTCGATGTAGGGTTTGGTGATGTGGCGACGCGAGCGAATGTCCCCCGGTACGTATCCATCTTGATAATTTCTTATTTGCAATACAAAATGTTTGACATTAGTCTGTCTACGGAGATCAGTCTTTAGCTTCCAAGGCTTGCTTATCACATTCAGTGCCTAAGTCTAGATGTCGCTAATGTATCTGTCGCGGTTCCCACTTCGTCTTGTTTTGCCTTTGATTTTCTATTCGAATAGCACTTTCGCTGTCACTTTGGTTTTGATGGTAACACAGGATGGTTCATAGCTCCTCCTGCCAAATCCTTGTCCAGTCCCTCCAAGATACAGCGTGTTGTTATCTGCGTCCCCAGTGGTCGCTGCAGCGTAAGGAATTTTGCAGTTTTTGACAAACTGCTTATCTCCTTTCTTAACGGTAGACGACAAAAATACAACTGCCACATAATAAAAAAAACGGGCTATATAAATAAATAATTCAGAAAAAGATTGCCTCAACTTGCGACTGTGTGTTTCATATGTTTCAAAAGCCTGAAATTAAAAAAAACTTTGTAATTGTAGGAAGTGTTTTTATTTATTGTAAAATATGTGTTAAATATTGGTTAATCAGCCTTTTCATACCATATTTTTCCGTTTGAGCAAGGGTTTGATGATTTAATTATTTTTTTTTAATGTTTCGGGGCCGTTCTGCTTATTTATTTTTGAAGTACTCAATTTCTGATTGTACAGTCACAACAATGAGGTATTCATGGATTTCCTCATATACGAGCTTTTCCCGTCATACTTCTATTGCATCTATGATCTTCGACACGGGCGCTTGCTATTCAACCGCTTGCACTCCCAGGGACGTTTGCCCCACGATTTTTCATTCCAACATGTGCTACCCACTTCCATTTTAGATATGCTATCGGTTTTGTTTTAAAATGCTTATAAAAATGACATTAATCTGTTTACGGAGATCATTCTTTAGCTTCCAAGGCTTGCTTATCATATTCGCCGCCTAAATCTAGATGTCGCTAATGTGTCTGTCGCGGTTCTCGCTTCGTCTTGTTTTGCCTTTGGTGAGGTCCTTGATTTTCTATTCGAATAGCACTTTCGCTGTCACCGTGATTTTGGTGGTAACACAGGTGGTTCATAGCTCCTCCCGCCGAATCCTTGTCCAGTCCCTCCACGATAGAGCGTGGTCTTGCGATTTGCGTCCCCAGTGGTCGCTGCAGCGTAAGAAGTTTTGCAGTTTTTTTACAAACAAAACAAAGAGAAAAGTATTCTCTTTTCTTAACGGTAGACGACAATTACCCTCCTTCTTTGGCAGTCGGGTAAAAATACAACTGGCACAAAATAAAAAAAACAGTCTAAATAAATAAATTATTCAGAAAAAGAATGCCTCAACTTGCGACTTGCGACTGTCTGTTTCAAATGTTTCAAAAGCCTGAAATTAAAAAAAAATACTTTGTAATTGTAAGTAGTATTTTTATTTATTGTAAAATATCTGTTGGATATTTATTAATCTATGTTTATGTGACTCATAATATGTTATTACAATTGACGGTTGTGGTACGGAAATTATTGTAAATATTCTCTCAGTTTTGAGCAACAATCCAGTTTCATAACTTTTATTTGTCCATCATTATCTTTATCCATTTTGTTGTATCAGAAGACACCACAGAGGATTTCCATTCCTTCTGATGTTTTTCTTCTATCTACATTAACATTTATTTAGATATTTCTCGTTTTATGACATCGTTACGAGCTTTATTACTTACTCATATTATTTATCTATGTATTGTTTCAAAGATAAAAAGTACGAATTGAAATTTTCTGTTTTATTGACCCAAATTTTCTGTTTTATTGACCCTCTTGGAGTTCCCACTTCAGAATATTTTAGAAAGGTTTCGATGGTAATTGCTATGCAGGTAATGTAACAGGATTCAGAGGTCCATTGGCACTCATCAGTCAATCAGACCCTGACGGGAGTCAAGAAACTTGCCAAGGAATTCGTAAGAAACGCTTGCGACAAAATAAATGCCTTGTCCCTTGCACCATCGTACCAACATCTCCAATTATCATGAAAACTATAGGTAATTTCTAATACAATATAATTATGAAAATATATTCTGTACTCGTTCACAGGATACCTTTACATTATGACCAAAGAATTTTAATTCGTAAATAAAAAATACTCAGAATGAATTACATAGTTGTCCAACTAAACAGAGCACGGTCGGTGGGAAAATATAATTGCTTCTAAAGTCGCAGTCACTTGTTGTACGATTACAACTACTATTTAAACCGTCATACCTAACTTGTAAAGGAAGCCAGCAATTATATAAATACATACAATATTTAAGTTATTGGTCGAGCAAGTGGCAGTTCGCGGCAAGCGGGTAGCGTATCATTTGTGTATCACATTAGACATGCAGAGGGAGAAATAAGCGCAGTCGATTGAGGAAACTTCGCATTAAAGCCGGCTAGTAATCGCTGCGAAAGGTAACAATTAATCTAAGTTCCCCAGGAATCGGACCAAATGACAGACACCACGTTTGCAGTGTGTTTCCTAGAACAGCAAATGGCGAGGTGCGGCGCGCGGGCCCGCGTCCTGTCAACTCTCCGCCCAGCAATTTTGTCGTCGATAAAAACTCTTAGTGACATCGCTTAGAGGCGTAAGGTTCCGTACGAAAACATTTAAATTTTAGGAAATCTTACGTCTATGTTCGGTTCATCCAATGATATTATAAAGAAGATACGCTACGTTCATACTAAGCGGCGTCCAAAAATTGTTGCGTTCTTATTACAAATGTACTTAAATGTCATTTTCAACTACGTGCGACAGATAATACGGAAAGTATGGTACAGAAAGAGATAGCTATTATAAAATTACGACAATTGTCTGAATTCGTTCGCAACAATTTTTGCGTGCCAGTGCGATATCTACCTCTTTTTGTTATTTTTAATATCATTGGGTTCATCATAATCATTACAAGTCGTCAAATGCTGAGCAAAAGCCTCTTGTAATAATATGATCACAAGATTTTCTAGTCAATTAAACATATGACGTACTGTCAAATAACACCACCTACCTAGTAGGTGCGTTTAGCTTTTCCGTATCTGTCCATCACCTATGTAGTATTCTTACGTATCTCACAATAACTAACCATTTTTAACATCTCTCCAAAGAGGTTTTATTTAATTGTTCCTGGCTAATACAACAAACAGTTTATAGGACATAAACTCGGGAAATAGTCTCTGTAAACCATTATAAATAATAAAGTTATTAATCAAGAGATCTAGGTCTTTTAATAATGAACAATGCGTCTATGTAGTGCTAGCAACAATGCGTGAACATTTTATCACACTGCAGGCAATGTTAATAAGACACCAATTTATTAATTAAAATTCTTTCCATTAAAACTAATTAAAATTTTAAACTTTATTAGGAACATAAACGAAAATAATAAGCACTTAATAAATAAGTCATATTATTAAAGGTGCAAAGGAGGAGGAGCATAACTGCGTAAGGAAATTTGAGATTACCTTGACCGATTTTGTTTTTACCTTTATACGGATAAGGACAAAATGTACTGCTTCAAAAAACCAGTGACACCAGCAGGAATAGCTAACTTACCCGTGCTTTTCCAACTGAGCTATGTCTTTCTGTTATATGTAGGTATCACAGCAGAAAATTCAATTTATCACAAACTTTCATACCATTTCTCAGGCAATCTGTCTATCCATCTATCCCGTGCTTCTCTTTTCATCAACCATATTTGAAATAATTACTCGCTTTATTTCATAACAAAACTCTGTACAAACAAATCACTCTACATGAACCCTAAACAGTAGCATGTCTCCATGTTTCAATGGACAGTAATCATTCGCATTTGTCGTAATACATTCTAGAAAATAATTATATCGCCAGCGCTCTGTAAACGAAGGAAATACACCTGATTACATCACTTTGAAAGCGTAATATTCACAAAGAGACATTGTAATCCCACCTTCTGTCATGAGTAGGCTGATATTTTGGGCATACCCTTTAGTAACGAAGTTATTGAAGTTGTAAGTCGCACCTATGCATGTTGTGTCTTTCCTTTATTGTTATTTGCAATGGCAAAATTAAGTAGTAGAACTTGGGGCGAATAAACGGCCTG